CGCCACATAAGCAAGACATTCAACGAATCTAGGCTTGCAGGAAAGAAAGAGCGAATCCAGCACCGAAAGTACGGCCAAACTTGCTTGCTGACTCTGTTTCAGGAAAACACTCTCGTAAACGTATCTGTGGCTATCTTTCTGTATCCTTTTTACTAACTTGCCATATGTCTCTGGCGAAACTTAACATGAGATGCTAAAAACTTACACCTCTGCTATGTAGATGCATGTTGATATATAAACTTACAAGAACACTTGCAACCTAAAAACTTAGCAAGAGTTGTAAGGGGGTTAGGGGGTGGTTATAAGGGGGTTACAACTGCCTATAACTTGTTACATCTCAGCCAACTTCAGCCCCTGCATCTCCGTGACAGGGGCAACCCTGGCGGAAACAACCTGGCGGAGCGGCAACTCTGGCGGGGGCAGGGGCACCCCCAACCCTGGCGGGCAACCCTGGCGGGGGCAACCCTGGCGGGGGCAACCCTGGCAGGGGCAACCCTGGTGGGGGCAAAATTGGAGGGGGAAATGTAGGTGGGGCAACCTCGGCGGGGGCAACCCTGGCGGGGGCAACCCTGGGAAGGGCAACCCTGGCGGGGGCAACCCTGGCGGGGGCAATTCTGGCGGGGGCAAAATCTGGCGGGCGCAACCCTGGGAAGGGCAACCCTGGCGGGGGCAACCCTGGCGGGGGCAACCCTGGTGGGGGCAACCCTGGCAGGGGCAATTCTGGCGGGGGCAAAATCTGGCGGGGGCAACCCTGGGAAGGGCAACCCTGGCGGGGGCAACCCTGGCGGGTGGGGGGCAACCCTGGCGGGGGCAACCCTGGTGGGGGCAACTCTGGCGGGGGCAACCCTGGCCTCCCCCGCCGGGGTGGTGCGTCGGGGGTTTAGGGTTAATCCATTATTACATTGTGCCCTATGGCTAGCAGGGATGCATCAGGTGTGGCAAACTCGATCTGCTTGGCAAAGCAAGCAGATCTCGAAGCGGTAGCGTTCAGTTGTACCGGCCGCCGCCTGGCGCGGGCGGCCTATGGTTTAGGGTTTTAGGGTTTTAGGGTTTTAGGGTTTAGGGTGTAGGGTGTAGGATGTAGGTTCTGCCATTTCTGGCGGTCGCGAGTTCCCTTTATGTTGCAGGGCCTCAGATGTTAGGGGGGTCAACATTTTGAGAGCTACCCCCACGTAGCAACAAAAGCTCATAAGAGAAGTGGAATTGGCAGCTTGGAGGTTGAGGGGTTGGAGCCATCAGAGTTCAGACCCAGAGGACCCGAACCCTCGACTCATCTGCAACTTCCACATATTCAGTAGGAGTTCAGCGGAGAGTCTGAGGCAAAATGCTTCAACCCTCGACCCCCACCCTAAACCCCTCAGCCCCTTAGTCGCCTAGGCCCCAGACCTACACCCTTGAAGCTTGAAGCCCCAAAACCCCTAAGCCCCTAAACCCTGCGGCACTCCTAAACTCGAAACAGCTGAGCCCCGAATACCCCTAAGCCTAACACCCCTCACACGCCCAATGCCCCTCCTAACCCCAAACTGTAAAACCCTAAACCCCAAGCCTGAAACCCCAAACCCCAAGCCTTAAACCCCTAACCCTAAACCCCAAACCCCAAACCCTAAACCCCAAACCCCTTCCACCCCAAAACCATAAACCCTAAACCCCAAACCCCACACCCCAAACCCTAAACCCTAAACCCCAAACCCCAAATCCCACTCCGATCAGGTGACAACGTCAGCGCCTTGGCCTTTTGCGACGTGGACGACGATGGCCATACCGACGACTGGACCTGTTTTGAGGGTTTAGGGTTTAGGGTGTAGGGTTTAGGGTGTAGGGTGTAGGGTTCAGGGCTTGGGGTATAGGGTATGGGGCTTCGGGTTTCCGTCTTCGGGCTTGGGATTTGGGTTGGGGTTGCGGTAACTGGTGCGTGCAGCTACGCGTTTGGGGTTGTAGGGTTTAGGGGTCAAACAGGGTTGATGGCCTTGGGGTTCTGGGGTGTGCGGCTCAGGGCCGACAAGTGTTGGGGGTTTAGGGTTTAGGGTTTAGGGTTTAGGGTTTAGGGTTTAGGGTTTAGGGTTTAGGGTTTAGGGTTTAGGGTTTAGGGTTTAGGGTTTAGGGTTTAGGGTTTAGGGTTTAGGGTTTAGGGTTTAGGGTTTAGGGTTTAGGGTGTATTTCCAGGAGGCCCAGGATGACATCCCTACTCAAACCCTGTCCCCTAAACTCTGAGCCCCCAACCCTAAGCCCTAAACTCTGAACCCAAAAACCCTACCGTAGCGATCAAAAATGCTTTTGTTCAACTCCTAAAACCGTGAACCCAAAACGCTGAACTCTAAACCCTAAGCCTCAACCCTAAACCCTAAACCTCGCCTGCACATACATGTAAACGAGTAAATATATATATATATATATATATATTTATTTATTTATATATATATATATATTTATTTATTTATTTATTTATCTATGTATTTAGTTATTTTGTATTTATACTTATTTATTTATTTACATATTTATATTTTGTAATACATATATATATATATATGTATATATGGTTCGGCCCCGGCGGGCCCCCCCCCCCCCCCCTCCCCCCCCCCCCCCCCAATGGTACTAAGATGATACCCCCCCCCCCCCCCCCCGTGGTGTGGTTGGGGGTTGGTTTTAGGGTTTTAGGGTTTAGGGGGTTTAGGGTTTAGGGTTTAGGGTTTTAGGTTTTAGGGTTTTAGGGTTTAGGGTTTAGGGTTTAGGGTTTAGGGTTTTAGGGTTTAGGGTTTAGGGTTTAGGGTTTAGGGTTTTCCCCGCGGATGGGGTACTAAGATGATACCCCCCCCCCCTGTGGTGTGGTTGGGGGTTGGTTTTAGGGTTAGGGTTTAGGGTTCAGGGTTTTAGGGTTTAGGGTTTAAGGTTTAAGACTTAAGGTTTAGGGTTTAGGGTTAGGGTTTAGGTTTTAGGGTTTAGGGTTTAGGGTTTAGGGGTTTAGGGTTTAGGGTTTAGACCGTAGAGTAGACTTGGGGGGGGGGGATACCATGGGGGGGGGGGGGGGGGGGGGCCCGAACGCATATATATATATATATAGATATACATATTCAATGTATTTCTTAGGTATTTACTTATATATTCACCCTTTGTCATTCGTGGGCGTTGTGCAAGATGTCGTTGGCATGGTGCACGTTGGGCAGCGTTTATCCACCTGTATAGTACATACGCCTTCAAGGATTACATCAGGCCATGGGTGCCGAAGGTGTTGTTCCCCAACAAGAACCAGTAAGCCGTAAACCCCAACCCCCATTTTTTCAATTGTGGGGGGGGGGGAGGGAGAGTGGGGGGGTGGGGGGTTAAGGATGTCAGCCAGGCCTTTCGGGTGTTTAAAGTGGTCCAAACTTCAAACCCCAACCCCAGAGTTTGTACTTTTTTCCGTATAAGGGAACCTAGTCAACACAGCTGTTGTCAAAGGGTTCAAAGCGCAACTCAGTTCAACCCTCCACCCCCGAACCCCAAACCCTCAACCCCCAAACCCCAAACCCTAAACCCCCAAACCCCAAACCCTAAACCCCAAAACCCCAAACCCCAAACCCCAAACCCCAAACCCTAAACCCCAAACCCCAAACCCCAAACCCTAAACCCTAAACCCTGTGGAACGCCTAGGAGTTGATCTGCGGGACGGAGGACTTTGAGATTCGGGCCTTCAAGAATGATGCCGCTGGGCCACCGGAAGCCCGCAAACTCCCCCGGACACATGAAGCCCGATTAGGGTTTAGGGTTTAGGGTTTACAGTTCAGGGTTTAGGGTTTGGGGTTTGGGGTTTGGGGTTTAGGGTTTAGGGTTTAGGGTGAGAAAGCTAGGTCGGCCCTTCGGAGATTTGGTATTTTCCCTTATGGGGTGGAAGAGGATCATGTTCAGGAATATCTCTGAGGGCTGTGGGGGGTTTAGGGTTTCGGGGTGTGGGGTTTTCGGGCTGTAGGGTTTGGGGTTTCAGGGTTTACGGTTACTTCCCAAATTTGTAAGAGCATTAGGGGAACCGCCCTAAACCCTAAACCACCCTTCTCAACCATAAAGGAGGATGGAACCCTAAACCCTAGACCCTAGACCCTAAACCCTAAACCCTAAGCCCTAAGCCCTAGACCCTAACCCCTAAACCCTAACCTTCGGGGCGCACCTCAGGTGGTCTTAAAGGAGATCACTGAGACCGACGTCGTACTGCGCATCGAGCCTTTGCACAAAGCGCGCTTCGCCTACGCGTGGCTAGGCTGCAGCTTCTAAACCCTTTCCTAAGCTTAGGGCTTAGGGCTTAGGGCTTAGGGCTTAGGGCTTAGGGCTTAGGGCTTAGGGCTTAGGGCTTAGGGCTTAGGGCTTAGGGCTTAGGGCTTAGGGCTTAGGGCTTAGGGATTAGGGCTTAGGGCTTAGGGCTTAGGGCTTAGGGCTTAGGGCTTAGGGCTTAGGGCTTAGGGCTTAGGGCTTAGGGCTTAGGGCTTAGGGCTTCGGGCTTAGGGTTTAGGGTTTAGGGTTTAGGGTTTACAGTTTAGGGGCTAGGGTTTACAGTTTCGGGTTGTTGGGTGTAGGGTGTAAGGCTTCCTGTTTGTTCGAGACTTTAGGGACCAGCTTGGGCGCGTATTCCCTTTCCTGCGCTGAGACTAAACTCAATAACCCCTAGGCTTTAGGGTTGAGGGTTTAGGGTTTCGGGCTAGGGTTTAGGGTTTAGGGTTTAGGGTTTCGGGTTTTGGGTTTAGGGTTTACCCTGAAGCCCTTGAAGCCTGGAGCCTTGCACGCCGCTCCGCGGCCTGAGGGACCCCTACCTGAGGGACCCCTACATAAAACAGCCTGCCTCAATCGTGGACCCCTAAACCCTAGACCCTAGACCCTAAACCCTAAACCCTAAACCCTAAACCCTAAACCCTAAACCCTAAACCCTAAACCCTAAACCCTAAACCCTAAACCCTAAACCCTAAACCCTAAACCCTAAGCCAAGAGGGACCAAGAGGCTACAAGCCTGAGTCCTTCTTGACCTTGATCCCAGGCTGATGCACGGCACTGTGGGAGTTTATGCTGCTGGGCGGCTAATCTCGGCAGGTCCTTGGTCCTAAACCTAAACCCTAAACCCTAAACCCTGGTACAGTTTCATATTTCCCCATTGGGTTGAAGAGGATCATCTTCAGGGAAAAAACTCAGAAGGCTTTAAGGGCCATCCTAGTTCTGTAGGGTTTAGGGTTTGAGGTTTGGGGTTTAGGGTTTAGGGTTTAGGGTTTAGGGGCGCGGCGGGGGGGGGGGGGGGGGTGTGGGGATCTGCAGGCGGAAGGTGTGCTTGTGTTCATGGGGAGATTTGGAGTTGAGGCGGGTTTTACATTACCCCAAGCCCGAAAAGACGAATCTTGTCCCCCCCCCCCCCCCCTCAAAATGAGCACGACCTGCATGTTAACAAAAGGTCACGGGACCTCTTAGCGCGCACAAATTACACCTAGGGTGATCTGCATACGGAGAGCCTTATGCCCTAGACCCAAAACTCTAGACCCTAAACCGTTCATAGTATCTCTCGTACTATTCGCCGGAATTTCGCATTTCTTCGAGGTAAACCTTCGTTTACAAAGGGAGTCTCCACGCAGGGTTTTGGGTTTAGGGTTTCGGGTTTAGGGTTTAGGATTGGAGGGGCACAGGCCTTGGTACAAGGCTAGCAGCTGTGAGTAGGTGGTCAGCATAAATTCAAGCATGGGGTCAAACATGGGTTGTTGTAGGGTGACGGGTCACGCGGCGTTTCGCAAAGCAGTGAGGGGTCACTAACACCTCACCAGAAGGGTTTCAGGGGCAGTCGTGTGCACCAGGCGTCAGGGCTCACTGAGGGCTCACAAGGGGGTCGTCACCAACCTTAAACCCTAGACCCCCAATTCCTAAACTCTTGAAACCCTGCAACCCTGAACGCATCCAAGCGTCAAACACACCCCTGACAACCTGAAGACCCCTGGTCAGATTCAACATCAGTGTCTACGCGCAGCCGTTAGAGACCGTTCGACCGGTCGCCCCACATGAGGAGTGACATGAGCGAAGGGCAGGAGGCAGGAAGCCATGGCTCGAACAGAGCCCCACACCCTGGAAGTGCAGGCAAGCGGCCCTTCAGCATCCGTGGTCTCGGAGGCGACTCTGTTCTGGTCTCAGTAGACCCCATGGCATTAGGCTGGGAAGTAGTCGAAGCGGTGGCAGCCAAAGTGGGCCGCCCGGCCCAGTCCCTCATGCTGACCTCTGGTGGCGGTGTGCTCGATCTGAGAGGCCCTCTTCTGGAACAGGTGACGAACGACGAAGTCACGTACGTGGCTCAACGCTTCGGTGCGGGTCGGGCTGCTGTGAGCTTGGAGAAGGCGCTTGCGAAAAAAGCCTTGGATCCTGCAGATGCGTGCGCTCTCGATGAGGTGGTCTCATTGACCTTTGCCTCTGACCGAAAATGGTACGGCAACCAGAGCTTGGAAGGGATCCGGCTGCCTAGCACCCTGCAGACGTTGACGTGTGGACATGAGTTCAACCGAAGCTTGGAGGGCATCCAGCTGCCCAGCACCTTGCAGACGTTGACGTTTGGCTGGGACTTCAACCAGAGCTTGGAGGGGATCCAGCTGCCCAGCACCCTTCAGACTTTGACGTTTGGACAGTGCTTCAACCAGAGCTTGGAGGGGATCCAGCTGCCCAGCACCCTGCAGTCGTTGGCGTTTGGACATGAGTTCAACCGGAGCTTGGAGGGCATCGAGCTGCCCAGCACCCTGCAGACGTTGACATTTGGACACAACTTCGACCAGAGCTTGGAGGGAATCCGGCTGCCCAGCACCCTGCAGACATTGACGTTGGGACAGTGCTTCAACAAAAGCTTGGCGGGCATCCAGCTGCCCAGCACACTGCAGACGCTGACACTTGGCTACAAGTTCAACCAGAGCTTGGAGGGGATCCAGCTGCCCAGAACCCTGCAGACGTTGACATTTGGACATGATTTCAACCAGAGCTTGGAGGGCATCCAGCTGCCTAGCACCTTGCAGACGTTGAGGTTTGGATACAAGTTCAACCAGATCTTGGAGGGTATCCAGCTTCCTAGCGCCCTTCAGACGTTGTCGTTTGAGTGGGACTTCAACCAGAGCTTGGAGGGCATCCAGCTGCCCAGCACCCTGCAGACGTTAATATTTGGACCTGCTTTCAACCAGAGCTTGGAGGGTATCCAGCTGCCCAGCACCCTGCAGACATTGACCGTTGGCAACAAGTCCACCCAGAGTTTGGAGGGGATCCAGCTGCCCAGCACCCTTCAGACTTTGACGTTTGGACAGTGCTTCAACCAGAGCTTGGAGGGGATCCAGCTGCCCAGCACCCTGCAGTCGTTGGCGTTTGGACATGAGTTCAACCGGAGCTTGGAGGGCATCGAGCTGCCCAGCACCCTGCAGACGTTGACATTTGGACACAACTTCGACCAGAGCTTGGAGGGAATCCGGCTGCCCAGCACCCTGCAGACATTGACGTTGGGACAGTGCTTCAACAAAAGCTTGGCGGGCATCCAGCTGCCCAGCACACTGCAGACGCTGACACTTGGCTACAAGTTCAACCAGAGCCTGGAGGGGATCCAGCTGCCTAGCACCCTGCAGACGTTGAAGTTTGGAAGTTACTTCAACAAAAGCTTGCAGGGCATCCAGCTGCCCAGCACACTGCAGACGCTGACGTTTGGCTACTATTTCAACCAGAGCCTGGAGGGGATCCACCTGCCCAGCACCCTGCAGACGTTGAAGTTTGGAAATTGCTTCAACCAGAGCTTGGAGGGCATCCACCTGCCCAACACCCTGCAGACGTTGAAGTTTGGAAATTGCTTCAACCAGAGCTTGGAGGGCATCCAGCTGCCCAGCACTCTGCAGACGTTGGCGTTTGGGCGCTGCTTCAACCAAAGTTTGGAGGGCATCCAACTCAATAGCCTGCAGTTTGTCCAGTTACGAGGGTTTCGTGTTGCAACCGCCATGAGCACAGCAGAGGTATCAGACCAGGGGCGTGCTTTGATGACTTGAAAACCCTAAGCCCAAAAACCCAATCTTGGGCGCTGCCGCCCCAAACTGACAAGAAACAACGAAACAACGGGTTTGGGGGTAAGGCAGTCTTTATTTGTTTTACTGCCCTCCGGAGGGCGTGTTTGGGCCCGGAGGCCCGGACCCTAAACCCAAAACCCTAAACCCTAAACCCCTAAACCCTAAAGTCTTGGCCGCGAGCGCGACCTAGTCGCGAAGCGGCCTCGCGACGATCAGGAGCCGTCAAGCACACCACTGCAGAGGGTGAAGCCTCTGCAGCCTCTCCTCCTAGGCCCCCCTCACCCAGTGACTCCAATATCCCTTAATTAAGGAATATACCTTAAATCATATTAGGGATCCTACTATAATTTAAGGTATATTCCTTAATTAAAGGATATTGGAGTCTTTGGGCATGGGACTAATAAAGATGAGACCTGTAAACTTCAACCCCATTCCCGAAAGGAAATCTTGAATCCTAGTTCAAGCCTACAAGCCAACCGGAAGCTTCCCAGTGCTTTTTGAAGTACCCAGAGCTCCTTTGAAAGCTTGTCAAGCTGCTTGGGAGCCTTTTCGGGGACCTCAAAAGGGTCACCGGACCCCCGCGACCTTTTCACGGCCTCATTTTGGTCAAGGGGGGGTCGTATTTTTCCACAGAGACCCCCCTTGCTCAAAACTCCGAGGGAAAGCTTGCTTCCCAAAAACAGGGGGGAGGGAGGGGGGGGGGAGGGGGGAGGGGCGGAGGGGGGGGGGGAGGGGGGAGGGAGGGGGCGGGCGCACAGCTAGAGGGCTCGCTTCGCAGCGCCCGGATTGACGAGCCTCCGGCTCATGCCGCCGACCTCGCAGGCCTTAAATGCGAAATGCTCGGTGGTTAAGTGCGTGCACTGTACACTTTTTGGAATACCAGAATCCCCTATAGAACTGAAACTTTACACTTTTTAGGGTTTTTAACGAATCAAAAACCCTAAATAGAGCTGACAGTTTACATTTTTTGGGGCTTATGAACTCAGCAACTAAGAATGTTGCAACCCGACAGTGGAGGTCTCCAGCGTTTGGCATAGCTGGAACAGGTTTAGGGTTCAGGGTTCCGGGTTCAGGGTTTAGGGTTTAGGGTTTAGGGTAATTATTTCTGAACCCTTCATTCCTTTAAACCCCCCACCTTCGAGGTTCATGGTACTTACGAACCAAGCAGTACTTGCACTCATAAGCCAATTATAGCCATGTTAGGGTAATTAAGGCTTATAAGTGGATTACAAGTACAATTATGGCTGGTTATTATGTACCACGAACCACCAGGCAGAAGCCCGGCAGAGGCTCCCCATGCTAAGGCAAGTTGCAAGAAGTATGAGTTTCGGCCGTAAACCCTAAACCCCAAACCCTAAACCCTAAACCCCGAACCCTGCACCCAGGACAAGCTCACCCGAGCGTGGCGCGTGAAGTCAAAGCATCGCGTGAACTGTACCATGGCAGATCACTCCTCTTGCTGTTGGTTAGCAGGGAATGAGGGAATTAGGGCCAAATATATATATATATATATGTATATATACGTATATGTATATGTATAGGTATGTTTATATGTTTGGGGTTTCAGGGTTTAGGGTTTAGGGTTTAGGGTTTAGGGTTTAGGGTTTAGGGTTTAGGGTTAGGGTATATATATATATATATATGTATTCTTCAAAGCATTATGAAGGGTGGCCCTATACATATATATATATATATATACATATTTCTTTAAGGGACTATATAGGGTACCTCATTCCCCCTTTCCGTACTAGCTAGCCAACAGTAAGTCCTCGGAAGGTTTGAAGGTCTCTGTTAGCTTTTCCAGGGGTCAAGGAATCGGTTGGGGGGGGGGGGGGGGGCCGAAACCTTGGTAGACCCCCATAAACCCCTATAAAGCTCAATAAACCTCCCTAACCCCCTATAAAGCCCTGAACCCCTGAACCCCTACACCCTGAACCCTTGAAGCCGGGATAGGAGCCCCAGGGTTTGAGAGTCTCAGGCTTAGGGTTCAGGGTTTGGGGTTTGGGGTTCGGGGTTTGGGGTTTGGGGTTTGGGGTTTAGGGTTTAGGGTTTAGGGTTTAGGGTTTGGGGGGTGGGGGGGGGGGGCGTTGGGGGAGGTCTGGGGGTGGCTTTCTGGCCTCTCCGACATGTTAATGAAGTGCGCTGGCCCGCCTCCAGGCCCTTGACCCCCAAGTCCTTGTGTTTTCGATGGAGGGTTTAGGGCTTTGGGTCAGGGCTTAGGGTCAGGGTTTAGGGTTCAGGGTTCAGGGTTCAGGGTTTAGGGTTTGGGGTTTAGGGTTTAGGGTTTAGGGTTTAGGGTTTGGGGTTTGGGGTTTGGGGTTTAGGGTTTAGGGTTTAGGGTTTAGGCTCAGGGTTCACGTTGTGGAAGGCATCGACTGCTTCGACTTGGACAACGACGGGGTTCCCGAGCTCATCGCCGGATGGGAGAATGGCGCCTCAACTTCCGGAACTATGGGGTTTAGGGTTTCGGGTTTAGGGTTTAGGGTGTAGGGTGTAGGGTTTAGGGTTTAGGGTTTGGGGTGTGGGGTTTAGGGTTTGGAGTTCAGGGTTCAGGGTTGAGGGTTTTGCAGTTAAAAGAAGACCTAAGCTTGGGATGTTCCCCTTATCCTAGCAGGCCTTGATAGGATTATAATCGGGGTACTATAATCCCCATTAAGGATTGTTAGTAGAAGGGGGAACATCTCAACACTAAGCCCTGAATTCTTAGGTGGGAGTTTAGGGCTTAGCGATTTGGGGATACAGGGGATCTAACTATTCGGGGCCCGTTAGGGGGCATCGTCTTGGGTGTACCAGCCTGGATGCTTTGACTAATGTTTGGTCAGCAATTCTGGCTGAAGCCTCGTTCTTGCGTCGTCGCATTCAGGGTTTAATTAGGGTTTAGGCTTTAGGGTTTAGTCACCTAAGGGAAGTTACATGGTCCCTTAACATGCAGGGTTTACGGTTTAGAGAAGGTTTAGGGTTTCACCTAAGAGAAGTTACAGGGTCCCTTTATATGGCTCCTGACCTTCATCAAGGGCTCCGAAGTATGGGCCCTTGGGCTTATATGGAAGAACTCTGACATATACCCACTGGCAGCAAACCCTGAACCCTAAACAGCGACACCTCTGCCTGCTACATCACGCAACTGTCTGGATCGTCATCCTCTAGTTGAACCCTAAACCTTAAATCCTAAAGGGTTGAGGGTTTAGGGTTTAGGGTTTAGGGCTTGGGGTTTAGGGTTTAGGGTTCAACCCAAAACCCTAACTAACACCAGAGGCAAAGCACAGAGCCCAACAACGACTGAAGCCCTCGAGGGGCACTCGTGCTTTAGGGGTTAGGAGTTAGGGCTTGGGGCTTAGGGTTTAGGAGTTGGGGCTTGGGGTTTAGGGTTTAGGAGTTAGGAGTTAGGGTTTGGGGTTTAGGGTTGAGGGCTTTAGGGCTAGTAGGGCTGGATAAGGGCCAAGGGTTCTCGGTTAAGGTTTGAGGCGTTAAACCCTAAACCCTAAGCCCTAAAAGCCACCCTCCCACTCAGGAAAGGTCGAAGTGAGGAATGAGAAGACTGGCGAGGTGATGTGCAAGGATTACTTTCAGACACCCGACCCTTGGCTTCTTTGCGGGCAGTAGGTGTAGGGTTTAGGGTTAGGGTTTAGGGTTTAAGGTTTAGAGTTTAGGGTTTAGGGTTTAGGGTTTCGGGTTTAGGGTGATTTGAGGGATCAAGGAACTGGGCTGATTAGTTAAGGGCTTAGGGTTTGAGGGTTTAGGGTTTAGGGTTTAGGGATAGCCTCCCCTATACTGCTTGGAGGTCGCTGCCCTAGTCCATGCAGACTACCGTCTGGACGGCCGGGAGACGCTCATGCGCCTCGGCTCCGAGTGTTTGGCAGAAAGGGTTAAGGGTTTAAGTTTAGGGTATGGGGTTTAGGGTTTAGGGTTTAGGGTTTAGGGTTTAGGGTTTAGGGTTTAGGGTTTAGGGTTTAGGGTTTAGGGTTTAGGGTTTAGGGTTTAGGGTAATTTCATGGTCCCTTGAATATAGCCCCTAAACCCACCCTTAAAGGGTTCTCAAGCTTTGGCTCCGGAGTTATTGTTGGGTTCTTTGTTGGGTTCTTTGGAGCTTACTCCCCACCACTCCCTAAGCTTCTCTAAGGTTCCCTAGGTACCTACCCCCCCCCCCCAAAGCACCCCCCCCTAAACCCTAAACCCTAAACCCTAACCCCTAAACCCTAAACCCTAAACCCTAAACCCTGAACCCTGAACCCTGAACCCTGTAAGGAGTGTTTGGCAAGAAGCGCAAAAGGGTCGAGGGTTTGCAAACCTTTCGACCGACCAGGAGCCCATCAGCCTTCACACCCTTCACCTGAAAGGGTTTACGGTTTAGGGTGTAGGGGAAGGTGTAGGGGAAACCCTAGAAGCCCGTGAATCCTCAAACCCCTGAACCTCAGCACACCTGCCATGGGGCGCGGGCGCACCCGCGGGCGCACTAGCAGGCGCATGCGTGCGCAAAGAAGCCGTGCGTGGCGACTTCGCCGGGAGGCTGAGGCTGGTGCATCCGGGGAAAAGCTCGAAGCTTGATCATAGTTACCCCGCTTCACGAGGAAACACAGCGTTGGCTTCTGCGTGCCTGTCCCGTGAAGAAGCCGTGGTCTCAGCATGCATTTCTGCAAACTCGCAGCCAGCAGCGAAGCGCGGGCGTGTGCGGCTTGGCTGCGAAGGCTGGCCCAGTTCTTCCCCTTCCCGCAAGCCGGGAAGCGGTCGAGGGTGGCAGCTGGCCGTGGTTGGGTACGGGCTGCATCTACCTCTGGGTTTCAGGCATAAAGCCTCTGAGCATTGAGCCCTGGTTGGGTACAAAGCACCTCCCTAGTTCATCCCCAACCCCGAAACCCGAAACCCCAAACCCTAAACCCTAAACCCCAAACCCCAAACCCTAACCCCCAAACCCTAAACCCCAAACCCTAAACCCTAAGCCCCAAACCCTAAACCCTATTCCCCACACCCCAAACCCCAAACCCCAAAACCCAAAACCCAAACCCCGAATCCGAAGCCGAGGTGCCTGACTTCGGAAGGCGAAGTGAGAGGCTGGCTACCGCCGCTGGACTGGTTTAGGGTTTAGGGTTTAGGGCTTAGGGCTTAGGGCTTAGGGCTTAGGGCTTAGGGCTTAGGGCTTAGGGCTTAGGGCTTAGGGCTTAGGGCTTGGGGCTTGGGGCTTGGGGTTTGGGTTGATGTGCCCAGCTGAGTATACCAAAGAATGCAGTGAGGGCTCTCCGTTCTGTTCATGTTCTGTAGGACTGAGGAGGGGGGGGGATCTAATGTTTTAAGGGTTTTGGGGAGGTTTAGGGTTTTGAGGGTTTTGAGTCGTCTGAAGAAGAAGGCTCGTGTTACAGCAGGTGCCTTGAGCCCCAAACCCAAACCCAAAGCGCCCCGGTGGGGAGAAGGCTGATGGGATTGCGGTTAAGGTGTAAGGCAGTTTGCATCAGGAGGAGGGGGGGGCTCCGAGACATACAGCGTCTTTAGTAGGTTACGAGAATGGTTGAAAATTCACGCCCCAAGAACATGAAAACCTCACAGCCAGAGCGAGACCACGCGAGCTCACAACGGCCGGTCGAAGAACAAGGGCCCGCGCTGAGCCAGAAGGGACGCCGGCTGCTGACATTCTCCCTCAATTTGATGGACCTAGTTGGGGGTTCATGGTACTTATAAACCAAGTATAACTGTACTTATGACCATATTGGGGCACTTAGGGGGCTTATAAATGGGATATAGTACAGTTATACTTGGTTAATAAGTACCATGAACCTCCAAGTAGGGTTCATCGAGGAGTATGGCTACAGCAAGGACGAGCGGAAAAGAACAACTCTCCAGGCAGGTTTCTGGAGTGCTACCTCGTGTGGCTCCTCAAAAGGAGCCCCGGTGCGAAGCCCTAAACCTAAACCCCAAACCCTAAACCCTAAACCCCAAACCCTAAACCCTAAACCCTAAACCCTAAACCCTAAACCCTAAACCCTAAACCCTAAACCCTTTGGAAAAAGTCGCGCACGTCATCCTCCGGACTCCATGCACCCCAGCGAGCACACGGCGGGGTTAGCAAGCTATGGAACTTCACGAGACTGGTTTAGGGTTTAGGGTTTAGGGTTTAGGGGTTAGGGTTTAGGGTTTTGGGTTTAGGGTGTTCCGAAGTGCCGCGGTCCCGACCCGCCAGGGAGTGGTGGCGGGTCGGGCCGCCTCGGTGCAGCGGATCCCACCCCAACCACCCAAACTACCGCCTTTTTCGGGTTTAGAGCGGTCTAACCCCCACGGTCCCCCTACCAAGGGGGCTTTCACCTCGACTCTCCCCGATGGCCGGGATGGGAGGTATGACTGCTGCTGTTGCTTGAGCCTACACTTTCCGACAATCAAAATTCACCCGTTTAAGACAATCTCAAGCGCATAGCTAAGCCATGGCGGGGGGCAACCCTGGCGGGGGCAACCCGGCGGGGGCAACCCTGGTGGGGGCAACGCTGGCGGGGGCAACCCTGGTGGGGGCAACCCTGCCAGGGCACTCTGGCGGGGGCAGCTCGGGCGGGGGCAACCCTGCTTGGAGGTTGATGGACTTAAGAACCACTTTTAACTGGGCTTATAACCCTTACTTATAATTGGAATAACCCCCAAAAGGCCCCTTTAGATGTTAAGTAGGGTTAAAAGTACAGTTATCTAGTGGTTCGTAAGTAGCGTGAACCTTCAAGTGGCGGGGCAACCTGGGGGGGGGTTCTGGGTCAGGGGCAATTTTGATGAAAACAACTTTGGTGGGGGCAACCCTGGTGGGGGCAAATCTGGTGGGGGCAACCCTGGCGGGGGCAACCCTGTCGCTGTAACACTGGCAACCCTGGCAGGGGCAACCCTGTCAGCACGGCGGTGGTTGAGGTTCATGAGACTTAAGAACCACTTAGTTTTTAGGGTTTTTCTTGGTGGGGTAACCCTGGCAGGGCAACCCTGGCGGGTGCAACCCTGGCGGGGGTAACCCTGGCGGGCAACCCTGGCAGGGGCAACCCTGTCACCCGGCAAATTTGGCGTCGGCAACGCTGGTGGGGCAACCGGGCAACCCTGGCAGGGGCAACCCTGGCGGGGCAACCCTGCTGTCGGCAGCCCTGGCTGGGGCCGCCCTGGCGGAACCCCAACCGAGTAGTTTGCCTTGTCACCCACCAAGCCTGGCGGGCTGGCGGGGGCAACCCTGTCACTGTAACACTGGCAACCCTGGCAGGGGCAACCCTGTCACCATGGCGGTGGTTGAGACAAGAACCACTTAGTTTTTAGGGGTTTTTTTTGGTAGGGTAAGCCTGGCGGGGCAACCCTGGCGGGGGCAACCCTGGCGGGGGTAGCCCTGGCGGACAACCCTGGCAGCGGCAACCCTGTCACCGCCAAATTTGGCGGCGACAAATCTGCAGCGGCAACGCTGGCGGGGCAACCCTGGCAGGGGCAACCCTGGCTGGGCAACCCGGGCGGGGGCAACCCTGGTGGGGCCACCCTGCGGGGGCAACCAACCCTGCCAGGGGCCAACTCTGGCGGGGCAACCCTGTCTGTCGGGCAACCGCAAACAGGGCTGCTGCTGTTGCTCGAGCCTGCACTTTCCTGGATCAACAGAGAGCCTGGCAGAGGCAACCCTGGTGGGGGCAAACCTCGGAGACAACCCTGGTGGTGGCAAGCCTGGCGGGGGCAACCCTGGCGGGGGCAAGGTGAGGTATAAACGTATATATATATATATATATATATATATATATATGTATATATATATATGTGTGTCTAGAGTCTCAAAGGAGCGGGGGGCCACTAATGGACGACGAAGCATATAGGTGCACGATTCCTGAATTGGCGGGAATTGGCCCGATACAACTGGGGGCAACCGGGCAACCCTGTCACCCTGCCGGAACAACCCTGGCGGGGGCAACCCTGGTGGGGGGCAACCCCGGCGGGGGCAACCTGGGGCAACCCTGGCGGGGGCAACCCTTGGCCAAGCCAACCCCGGCGGGGGGCAACCCTGGCGGGGGCAACCCTGGCGGGGGCAACCCTGGCGGGGGCAACCCTGGCGGGGGCAACCCTGGTGAGGGCAACCCTGGCGGGGGCAACCCTGGCGGGGGCCACCCTGGTGGGGGCAACCCTGGCGGGGGCAACCCTGGCTGGCGGGGGCAACCCTGGCGGGGGCAACCTGGCGGGGGCGCAACAGCTTCTTAGGCCCGACCTCCCCCGCCGGGGTCGCGCGTCGGGGGTTTAGGGTTAATCCATTATTTCCTTGTGCCCTATGGCTAGCAGGGATGCATCAGGTGTGGCAAGCTCGATCTGCTTGGCAAAGCAAGCAGATCTCGAAGCGGTAGCGTTCAGTTGTACGGGCCGCCGCCTGGCGCGGGCGGCCTATGGTTTAGGGTTTAGGGCTTGCTGGCTTCTACAACACCCGGCCGCCTTTGGAATCATCCCGGTTGGCGTGATAGTGTTTCGATCGTGCTTACAGCAGCCGCAGCCCTCTGCCAGGATTTAGAACTGACGAACAGTGCATGCAAACAAGTTCGAGTGTGAGGTCCTGTCCCAGATGAAGGGTGGACCTGGGTACGCAAGATCGCCGTTTTGTTGGAACCTAGCATTCCTAATTCGCAAGTAGGTGTTTCCGCCCGGAACCCTAGGCCGTAAACCCTAAAACCCGAAACCCTTTGCGTGGGGTTGGGGTGGGGGAACAGGTGTGGTGGAAGGGGGTGCCCTTCCTAAAGGAGGGATTCCCTGCGCCCTGCATCTGGCGGTTATACAGAGGGGACCCTGACTTAGGGGTTTCAGGGCTGAGGGTGCAGGGTTTCAGGGCTGAGGGTTTTAGGGTTTAGGGTTAGGGTTTTGGCGTTTGGGTTTTGGGGTTTCAGAGTCTCAGGGTTGAGCGCTTTGAATTGGGGTTTCAGGGCTTCAGGGTTTTAGGGCCTTAGCTAAGGTTTGGGGTTTTAGGGTTTCTTTTAGCTTTTCAGGCGTTTGCATGTTAGGGCTTTTGGGCTTGGCATTTTAGGCTGAGGGCTTTCTGTGATTTTGGGGGTTCAGGGTTTTCCTAAACCCCAAACCCTAAACCCCAAACCCTAAACCCTAAACCCTAAACCCTAAACCCTAAACCCTAAACCCTAAACCCTAAACCCTAAACCCTAAACCCTAAACCCTAAACCTTCTAGGGCTTAGGGAACCACCGAGGTCGAGCTCCGGCGCGGAGCACACGGGCCTCGCCTCTGGCCCAGCGGCCACCGAAGCCAAGGATGGCCCCCCCAAAAAGTCTCACACGGTCTAGGGTTTAGGGTTTAGGGTTTAGGGTTTAGGGTTTAGGGTTTAGGATGTAGGGTTTAGGGTTTAGGGTTCAGGCTTTCGCAAAGCCCCAAACCTGCGGCTAAAGGAGGTGGCAGATCCCAGATATACCCCAGCGTTTACGCTCGTAGACTGTTGACACTCAACCCTAAACCCCAGGCCCTAAACCACTTTGGGGGGCAAGAGACTCACGGGAGCCATAATGACAAACCTCTTGGTTTGAGGTTTTCCGGTCTGGGAAATGGAAAGCACCCAGTCACAACGCGGAGACTGGTAGGCGCCGGAGATGTCCAGAAGGAAAAATGACTGTATTCGGATCTTCAAGGCATCGGGTCTATATATGGGTTTCATGCGTAGGGTTTGTAGGGTTTACGCATAGGGCTTCTGGAGGGTTTGTACATTGGGCATATAGGCTTTTGCCATGGTGCTGCTCACCCCCCCCTCATTCGGGTGCCTCATGCGCTGCGCGCATCTTAATCATATTTTTTTAAGGTGCAATCCCTCCAAACCCAGTAAACCCTGTCAGTAGGGTTTAGGTTTAGGCTACCCTCTAAACCCAATGTTACCCTGTATTCTTCCCAAAAATCAAAGGACTCTTCCCCTGTGCCAGAGGCTTCCCATTTTGAGTCCTCATCTTATGGATCCTATAGCAGGGAGATCAGCCACAGGTGCCAAGCCACTCACCGCCAGCCCAAAACCAGGGGATTGAAGCCAGGAGAACGAGATGTGGCGGGAGCTTACTGCTCAGAAGACCAAGTTGACCCAGGACAATATCGGATGTTTTTTTTTTTTTTTTTTTTTTTTTGGGGGGGGGGGGGGGGGGGGGGGGGGGGGGGGGTTGGAGGGTGGCTTAGGGTTTAGGGTTTATTGAGTTTATTGCTTCCCTTCGTAGCAACCCAAAGTGTGCGTGTAGGCCATCGGGGCTCTTTGGAGTTTGTAAGCGCATAATTGCCATGTTGGGTTTAGAGGCACATGTATGTTGATCCACCACGATGTGTAAGGCATGTTTGCTTGGCGATTTGGCGAGACTTGGGATGTTCCCCCGCATGCTAACAGTCCTTAATACGGATTATCGCACCCCGATTATAATCCCGAACAAGGGCTGCTAGTATAAGGAGGAAAATCCCTAAACATGGGATCAATCGCGACCTAAGACTGAGGGTGTAGGTTTCCGGCGGTCTATGTCGTAGAACCTCCCAGTTTACCCCTACAATCGTACCTATAGTCGCTCCCTCACTCATCCTAAAACCCTAAACCACTAGCGCCACAAGCTCCAGCGTTTAGAGCTTTCGGAACTTAGGGTTTAGGGTTTGGGGGAGGGTCAGGATAGGTTCCGGATCGGTTTAAGGTGGGTTTAGGAGAAGCTCAGGATAGGTTTAGGGCAGGTTTAGAGTGGGGTTTTACCCTAAACCCTAAACCCTAAACCCTAAACCCTAAACCCTAAACCCTAAACCCTAAACCCTAAACCCCTAAACCCCTAAACCCCTAAACCCCTAAACCCCTAAACCCCTAAACCCCAAACCCTAACCCCTAAACCAGAGTGGGGTTTCGGGCTTCTTGGGGCTTCCATGGCAGGAGCTGGCCAGCTACCAGGAGCAGCTGAAGCAGTACAAGTCCTCTGGCAAGGACCCTCCAGTTTAGGGTTTAGGGTTTAGGGTATAGGGTTTAGGGTTTAAGTTTAGGGGCCTGATAACACCTACTGCACCCTATATTTGCGAATTTCTGCACCTTAAGCCTTCAGCCCTCTAAACCCCCAAGCCCTAAACCCGTCGACCCTCAGTCGAGGGGGAGTCTTGTGTTTGACATGTGACGGACCCGTTCAGGACCTTTAAGGTTAAGGGTATAGAGTACGCTCAATAAACTTCGGGAGTTATGGAGTCCCCAAACCCTATAGGAACCCCCCATTATGTCAACCCAAAAGCGGTGCATCCCCTACTTGGAGGGACTTACTGGCAACGCTCCAAAAAGGCTTCCTACTAGATGAACAGGCGTGTCCAAATCTCTAGGAGGGCCCCAAGGCCCCCCCCCCCCCCCCCTGTTTTGTGTAGGAAGCTCCCTAGACCCTGGAGGGTAGGCGGAGTCGAGAATGCCGGCTCTATGGAATCAGGCCTAGAGCCCTTGTAGGGTTTAAGGCTTAGGGTTTAGGATTTAGGGTTTAGGGTTTAGGGTTTAGGGTTTAGGGTGAAACTCGAAGTATGAACCCTGAATCCTCACGGGCCGCGAGCCTGCACCCCACCTATTCCAATTTCTGGCAGCACCTGAAGGTTCGGCTGGACCTTCGTAGGGTCTTAGGGTTTAGGGTTGAGGGTTTAGGGCTTGGGGCATTCTTTCCAAGTGCCAGGGGCGCATGAGAAAAAGGTGCGACGCGAAAGCTGCGAAATCGCAGCCCTCAAACCTACCAGGTTTTCATGCGAGCGGTGGCCCGGGAAATGGGCATGCACTGGAAAGACTTTCTGGATTTCAGTTCCCCGTTCTCGTCGAAGTACACGCCATGCACCACCCTTTTGCTGCGGTGGTGAGATCTTCTGCCCCCGTGCGGGAAGACACCCCACCTACGCAAAGCCTGAGCCCTGAACCCCAAACCCTAAACCCTGACACCCAATCCCTAACCCCCTTCAATCCTAACTAACCCAAAGCCCTCAATCCTGGGGTTAAGGCCTGAGCGTTGCGACTTCCACAGGAGACTGGCCAGGGGATCATCCCAACCGACACGAAGCCCCTGGGACCAAGAGAAGTTCTCGCAGACATGACTGGGGGTTTAGAGTTTAGAGTCCAAGGTTCAGGGGTTTTTAGGGGTTTTAGGTTTTAGGGTTTGGGGATTTGGGGTTTAGGGTTTAGGATTTAAGATTTCAGGGTTTGGAATTCAAGGCTCAGGGTTCAGTTCAGGGTTTTAAGGCTTGGGGTTTGGCATTGTTGCAAAGCTGCATCCTGCTAAGAAAGCATTTCCATGAGGCTCCCCGCAAGCCGAGACAGCATAGCTTTGCGGCTTCATGGAATCCAACTCTTCGAGTCCGTCAAGGCTTTCAGCAAGCTGGTACGTGCTAGAACAAGTTCTTTGCAAGAGCCGTAAGCAAGTAATCTTTACAGGGAAGAAAGATTGCATGGGTGCATCTCCTATCTGCGTAGGGGCAGGATGTCCATATCTGTAGAAGTGAGCCTCATGAGCGGCAGGGCTGTTTCCTTGGAAGTCGACCTGGACTCTCCCGTGCAAGCCTTGAAGCGGCGCGCGCAGGCCGCCTTGGGCGTGGGCAAGGGGATGCTCCTGGACTCCTCGGGAGGTGTTCTGCATGAGCAGACCACACTGAAGAAGCTGAAGTTGCAGACCGGGGATTCCTTGACCTTACAAGTGCGCGAGGTTAAAGTGCTCGGGTCCATGTTCGGATACATGCCATGCGGGTTTGCGGCTGTCTTGGGCGACGGATCCGTCGTGACCTGGGGCAAGGCTTGTAGTGGCGGTGACAGTGCCGCTGTGCAAGATCAGTTGGCCGACGTGCACCAGTTCCAAGCAACCCAACGAGCTTTTGCAGCAGTCCTCGGTGATGGATCCGTTGTGACCTGGGGCGACGCTGAAAGTGGTGGTGACAGCAATGCTGTGCAAGGTCAGCTCAAGAACGTGCAGCTGATCCAAGCCAACAAGAATGCCTTTGCTGCCATCCTGGGTGATGGTTCCGTCGTGACCTGGGGCGCTGCGGACCGTGGTGGCAACAGCAGTGCCGTGCAACATCGGCTGCAGAACGTGCAGCAGATCCAGGCCACATTGGGCGGTGCCTTTGCTGCGATCCTGCGTGATGGATCCGTCGTGACCTGGGGCGACGCTGTAAACGGTGGCGACAGTAGTGCCGTGCAAGATCGGCTGAAGAATGTGCAGAAGATTCAAGCAAGTGCTTGTGCCTTCGCGGCCATTCTGGGCGACGGATCTGTTGTGACCTGGGGCCCCGCTTCCTTCGGTGGTGACAGCAATGCTGTGCAAGATCGGCTCAAGAACGTGCAGAAGATCCAAGCCACTGGCAATGCCTTTGCGGCGATCCTGCTGGATGGATCCGTTGTGACCTGGGGCCATGCTGAGTTTGGTGGCAACAGCAGTGCTGTGCAAGGTCGGCTGGTGAACGTATCCGATATCCAGAAAACTGATTGCGCCTTCGCTGCGGTCCTGCATGATGGGTCCGTCGTGACCTGGGGTGAGGCTCGCTATGGAGGGATCAGCAAGGCTGTGCAAGATCTGCTCCAGGACGTGCAACAGATCCAAGCGACTGATAGCGCTTTTGCTGCGATTCTGGGTGATGGATCCGTCGTGACCTGGGGCAGCGCTGGCCGCGGCGGCTACAGCGGGCATGTGCAAGGTCAGCTGAGCAGCGTGCAGCACATCCAAGCGACTGATGGTGCTTTCGCTGCGATCCTGGGTGATGGATCCGTCGTGACCTGGGGCCAAACTGATTTTTTTGGTGGCGACAGCCGTGGCGTGCAAAATCAGCTCAGAAACGTGCAACAGATCCAAGCGAATTCGTTTGCGTTTGCTGCGATCCTCGGCGATGGATCTATCGTGACCTGGGGCGGTGCTGAATATGGTGGCGACAGCAGCGCCGTGCACGAACAGCTGAGACTGGCGAATGGGCCTCAGTGACCTGTTGCGACCGAGGGTCGTGCAATGGCTCCACTTTCGAACTTTTTGACAGCCCCCCTGAATTAATCACGCTGTCTGAATACCCCTGCCCCGCACCACTACTCCACCCGCATATCCCAAAGGTTCTGTTCTCATTACTTGTGTATCCCTACACCCGAACCCCTTAGTACGACCAAGTCTCCACACATGTATGTTTGGGGTTTAGAGTGTAGGGTTTAGTTAGGGGATCAAGGTTTAGGTTAGCATGTTCATCAAGCCTTGTGTCCCTAGAAAGCCCAGTTGTGTCCGAATCTGAAGGAAGTTACATGGTCCCTTAATGTGGCCCCTTACCTCCTTGAAAGGGTTCTGATGTATGGGCCCTTGGAAAGTCGGGTATATAAGGGGTATGTACGGGGTCCCCTTTTAAGGGACCAAGTAGCTACCCTAAGACCGAAGCAGTGGCCCGTCGGGTGCCCTATTTTCACGCGAGCTTGAGGTAGTGCTGGGCAATCATGGAACCCTAAACCCTAAACCCTAAACCCTAAACCCTGAACCCTAAACCCTAAACCCTAAACCCTAAACCCCCAAACCCTAAACCCTGAACCCTAAACCCTAAACCACTAGGGTCATCGCGGCTGTAGTCTCACTTTGTAATGTGGGGGTTTACGGCACTAGGGACCCCTAATATAGACCCCCGAATCGTCGGATCCCCTTGTAATAAAGACCCCAATAAAGCACCCCCGACTATCCGGAACCCCCATGTTTATGTTGCTTTACGTTTAGTATATGTTTTTTGAGCGGGGGGGGGGGGGGGGGGGGGGTCTTCTTCCAAGAATCCTGTGGTAAAGAGTGACCCTGCGTGTGTCATAGTAACAGATAGTGGTTATTGCCGGAACCCGTTCCTTCACTACCCCACAAGCACCGCTTAGTAGCGGAGTTGGCATACCCTAAGCCCTAAAGCCCTAAAACCTTAAAACCCTAAACCCCTAAACCCCTAAATCCCTTAACCCCTTAACCCCTAAACCCCTAAAACCCCTGACCCCGGAACTTCAAGCCCCCCAAAACAGTCACAAATGCCCCAAACCCCCCGAACCCGAATCCCCAAGCTTCCCGAACTTGCCAAACCCGAAACCCTGAACCCTGAACCCTAAACCCTGAACCCTAAACCTGAAGCCCGAAACCCCTAAGCGAGCTAAGGCTCAATGCGTCGCTGAAGTCCAACCGAGCGCAGGGCACCGTTGAACTGCCCCTCGGACGCCTGCAGAGGGTTTAGGGTTTAGGGTTTAGGGTTTAGGGTTTAGGGCTTAGGGCTTCGGGTTTAGGGTTTAGAGTTTAGGGTCCTGCAGAGAAGGGGGTGGGCTTCTTCGGGCCCATAGTGGTCGCCTTGAGTGGCTGAAGTTAGGGTTTAGGGTCTAGGGTTTAGGGGTTAGGGTTTAGGGTTTTCACACCAGTACTTGGAGGTTCCTGGTCCTTAAGACTTAAGACCTCAATTCTAACTGTACTTAGAACCCAAACATATCCATATCAGGGCACTTGAAAGGGCCCATAAGTGGGTTAGAAGTACAGCTGTCATTGGGTTATGAAGTACCATGAACCCCCAAAGCAGAGGATGCTGTGTGGAGTCTGGTGTGGCTCCCTAATTGACCGTTTAACCCAAACCCTGGAATGCACACATAAAATCTGTTTCAGGCTCCGGTAGGGCACATACCTCCCTTTACCCTTAACGTGTGGCAAGTGTAGGTTACTTCTTTTCGAAGGGAGACGGAGATCTCGCTTTGTGCGCGAGAGGTCCGTAACCGTCAAATGTACATCTCTCGACACCCTGATGAAGCTCTTTGTTTATTTGCAAGGGTTAGAGTTTACCCTTAACCCTACTAAACCCTAGCCAAGGCCGAAACCCCGATTCTGGTCTTACGGCTGCAGGTAGCTGCTAGCTGAGTTCCCGAACCCCTCAGGAACCCGCAGGGTTCATCTAAGCAGCAGCGTTGGTGCTTCAAACAGCCGTTCTGGCGCTTCCGCAAGCACACCTGAACAAGCATCCCCCTGCCCGAAACCCGAAGCCCTAACCTAGGGTTTAGGGTTTAGGGTTTAGGGTTTAGGATTTAGGATTTAGGATTTAGGGCTTAGGGCTTTAGGGCTTTAGGGCTTTAAGGTTACAAGGTTACAAGGCTTTAGGGTTTTAAGGCTACAAGGTTACAAGGTTACAAGGCTTTAGGGTTCACAAGGCACCTCATGACTTCCAACTACTCGGTGATCCGCGCCGTGGTGATCTTCGCGGAGCACCTCTTTGATGGCGAGGCCGCTTCTTTTTGCAGACTCGAGGCTTGTTTAGGGTTTAGGGTTTAGGGTTTAGGGTTTAGGGTTTAGGGTTTAGGGTTTAATACAAGGGCAGACTCAGGGGGCTATTTGGGGGCTACTTCTTCCCAGTTGGAACTGTACTTATCACCCACTTATATCAAGGGACTACAGGAGGGACCCTTAGAAGGGAAATTAGGGGTTGATTGGGGTTTTTGGGGGCTACTCAGTGTTTTTTAGGTCAGAAACTGGAAAAGTAATAGGATTATCAAGGGACTAAAGGCGGGACCCTTTCCAGGGACCTTCGGGGTTATGCAGGGGCTTCTTAGGTATAAAGGGAGGATTTAAGGTACATATAGGGGTTACATACGGGCATAAGATTCAGGGTTCCTTCTGCGGGTCCCTCCTTATACCCCTGAACAGACAGTTCCGTGTGGAGTCCTTTCTGTAGCCCCAGTTCAGGCCTGCATGCTGCACCCGCTGCCGCCGTCCAATAACATCATCGTGCAGATTTCCCCTGCGAAGGATGCCGCCGGACGTGCTAGACGGTTTAGGGTTGAGGGTCGTAGGGTTGAGGGCTTACTGAACCCCAAAAGCCCTGAACTCTCTGGTGCTGCGCACGTATGTCTAAACCTTTTTGCATATTCTAGGCGTCTTGTAAACCTCAAAGGTTAGCATTCGCTCAGCCCTAGGACCCCTATCGCCGGAGTAAAGGGTCCTTCTGTCTCGAGGTGGAGGTATGTTCATGTCAGTGTGTTCGGGCGAGCTCCCAGGTACAGACCACCATGAACATCAAGGCGATGACCGGCATGACAGTGAGCACTTTGCCGCAGTGGTTCCCCAAGAAGCCCCAAAGACCACAAGACCTCCCACCCCGGTCCGCTCACCCCAAGAGCCCCAAGCCACTTACCCCCTAAGCCCCACGACGTTCTCCCTAAAACCCCTCAGACCTTTACGCCCAAACTCCACCTAAGGGGGAACTCTAGCCTAGTGCCTATGGTTTAATTTGGGATTCTGTAGTTTGCAGGACCACCTTCGGGGCATGGCTGGGATTTATTTGGAATACTTATCAATTCTCCATGGGCCCTGATCCCCACATAGCCCTCTTAAACCCGTGGAATGAACCCACCCAAGATTGGGGCTTAGGGGTTGGAATATGTCTCCTGATCGGCTTACTCGGAAGGGGAAACGTCGTCGGGTAAACAAGGAACGGAGCCCTGAGAGGATTCCATATGAAGGGCCATAAACCCTACAACCCAAGACCTTTCAAGTGATACTAAGCCCTATGAACCCTACACCCCAAAAACTCATAAAACCCTAAACCAGCCTGAGCCCTCGATGGTATCGTAGGGGATCCGTGTGACCAGGATGCCCAGGAGGGTGCCCCTTTGTTTGTTTGGGGCTACACAACACACCGCGTCTAGGGCGTGGGGTTTAGGGTCTAGATTTCCCACGCCCTAAACCCTAAACCCTCAACCCTAAACCCTTTACCCTCAGCCCTAAACCCTAAACCCTAGACCCTAAACCCTAACTCCTGGACCACAAGGTAGTGTTCAGTACCACGTCTTCGAGCTCGACTACATCATGCCGAAGTTCGCCATGCTCCTCGGGGGTTTAAGCTTCAAGCGTTAGGGGTTTGGGGCTTAGGGTTTAGGGTTTAGGGCTTAGGGCTTAGGGTTTAGGGTTTAGGGTGTAGGGTTTAGGGTTTAGGGTTTTGGGGTTTTGGGGTTAGGGTTTAGGGTTTAGGGCTTAGGGTTTAGGGTTTAGGGGTTTAGGGGTTTAGGGTTTCCGTTCGTGGGCACTTCTCGAAACAAGCTTCCCTTTTTGGGGGGTCCCCTGTGTCCACCTTGTCAGTCCTCTACAAGTATGATATCTGGAGCTATACAACATGCTGCGGTTCAGGGCATAGAGTTGAGGGTTTAGGGTTAAGGGTTTAGGGTGTAGGGTTTAGGGTTAAGGGTTTAGGGTGTAGGGGTTTAGGGCAACGCGCAGGAAACACGGAACCTCAGCCTTCTGGATTCGAACACTTCGGGTTTCGGGCTTAGGGTTTAGGGCATTGGGGGCTTTCAGGGGTCCTAGGGGTCCTAGGGGTTCTAGGGGTTCTAGAGGTTCTAGGGGTTCTAGGGGTTCTAGGGGTTCTAGGGGTTCTAGGGGTGGCTCTCACGGGCTGAAAGTGTTGTCGGATTGAGGGTTTCGGGGCCGTCTGGTCTTTGGGGTAAAGGAATGCTTAGGGACTCTGAGGGCTTATAATGTCAAGGGAGGGCCATGCCAGGGTTCAGGGTTCGGGGTTTAGGGTTCAGGGTTTAGGGTTTAGGGTTTAGGGTTTAGGGTTTAGGGTTTCGGGTTTAGGGTTCAGGGTTTAGGGTTTAGGGTTTAGGGTTTAGGGTTCAGGGTTCAGGGTTTAGGGTTTTGAGTTTATTGTTTTGGGTTTAGGGTTTAGGGTTTATTGTTTAGGGTTTAGGGTTTAGGGATCATGCGTGGAGGTATCACTTGGTGGAGGAGGTGGGCCAATGGCCGACAGGGGCCGTGACCTTCGTCGTGCAGGAGACGTGTCCAGTCTACTAGGTACTACTACTTGCTTGAGAACCCCCCGCCAAAAAACACACGAGATAAATACTCCCTATATTACCCTTATAAGGAAGAATATTTTTTTTGTGTGGGGGGGGGGGGGTTCTTAAGCAGTTTGTAGAGAAGGTGCATGGGGCGTACTTACTGCATGTAAGCAGGTGTCTAATCCTCCCCGTAATCTCCTTACTTGGCCTTATTTCGTTTGGCTTGTAACCCTGACTACATAGCTGCTCGGCTGGCTAGAAGGTAAGGTTTTGAAGGTCAAATTAGCCAGCAGAAGTTGTCACATCTGGGGGGGAGGTGGGAGGGGGCTGGGGGAGGTGAAGCTCTAGTCTAAGGCTCGCAGAGGATCTAGAAAGTAGAGCCGACCGAGCCACAATTCAGCACAATGTAGCTTAGTTGGATGTTTCTAGGATCCTCAATAGGGCCCTCTCCCTCCTAGATCCTCGTAAAGGTCACTTGGAGGTTCATGGCTATTAAGGCTATTAAAAGCACAATCACAACTGCACTTATAACGCAAGTAACACCCTATTGGGGCGCTTAGGGAGCTGAGAAGTGGTTTAGAAGTACAGTTCTAATTGGGTCATAAGTGCACAGAACCTCCACACAGGGTACCCTAAACCCTAAACCCTGAACCCTAAACCCTAAACCCTAAATCCTAAACCCTAAACCCTAAACCCAGAACAAGTATGTCATCAAAATGTGGGCTGGAGGAGCGGCCCACTCGCATCTGGTCCTGGCTACAGAGGCCGTGCTGAGAATGCTTCGAGTAAGTGTTTAAGACTCGTACCCTAAGGTTGTAATTACCCCTAAAGGTTCCCCTTTATATACTCCTATTATGGCCCCTGTACTACCCCTAAAGGTTCCCCTTTATGTACTCCTACAATGGCCCTTGTACTACCTTTAGAGGATCTTTAATAACAGACAACCTTAAGGGTCCAAGGTACAACCCCAGATTCGGGGCTCGGGTTTAGGCTGCGAAGATGATGGAGCTTGGGGCTTCTCATGGGTCTTGGTGTGAGCCTAGGGTTTAGGGTTTAGGGTTTAGGGTTTAGGGTTTAGGGTTTAGGGTTTAGGGTTTAGGGTTTGGGGGAGGACTTACTATAATTTTGGTTTTAATGCTTAGAATCACCCTAACGGGCCTTATGCGGGTTACCGCCAACTAAAAGTTGGCTGATAACACGAAGTACAACTAGCTGGCAAGTCCCACGAACCTTTAAGGAGCCTAATCCATAGCCTTTCGTACCCTTCTACAAAACCCTAATTAAACCCTAAGACCCTCGACCCTAAATCCTAGGAACGCCCATCCTCCCTAAGCCCTAAGCCCTAAACCCTCAACCCTAAACCCTAAAACCTAAACCCTAAACCAAAAACAACAACAGGTCCTTCATTTCCATTCCGGACCAGATGCCGACAGCCCCCCAGACAGCGCCCGGGACCGCTTCGGGGATCCAGCAGGTTTAGGGTTTAGGGTTTAGGGTTTAGGGTTTAGGGCTTAGGGCTTAGGGCTTAGGGCTTAGGGCTTAGGGCTTAGGGCTTAGGGTTTAGGGTTTAGGGTTTAGGTACATATAGTGGGATATAAAGGTGCCAATTTAGTTGCTTATGCCATGCGGGTTCGCGGCGATGAACCCGAATGAACCCTACCCTGCCCGACCCAGACCCCCCCACCCACCCACCCACCCACCCACCCACCCGCAAGAACGTGACGAAAACGACGAAGGAAAAACCTATCTTTTCCCCCACCACTCAGTCTGCTCCAATTTTTTACCCTTCGCCTTAAACCCTGAACAAACCTGCAGCAAATACGTGGTCTTGGGTTTCGGTTCTAGATATGAGACATGCTGCTGTAACACCCCAAGCCCGAAAACCTCCTAAATCTTTAATCTTCCAGTCCGTGCATCGAGCCCCCTGAACCCCGAAACTGTACCCCGCTGCCTAAGCCCTGCAAACCACGAAAGCTTCAAAAAAGAAAGCACGTACACACGCGCGCACACACACACACAACTAAACACCTCCCCCTAAAGCCTAAATCCTGAACCCTAAACCCTAAACCCTAAAGCAGGAAGCCCCCTGCCTAGGCGACCAACCTCCTGGATGTCAACTTCATCTCACTGCGAACAGGGGAGCCGCCACTGGCCTTCCATGTACCCTAAACCCTAAACCCTAAACCCTAAACCCTAAACCCTAAACCCTAAACCCTAAACCCTAAACCCTAAACCCTAAACCCTAAACCCTGAACCCAAAGCGTAAGGCCTAAACCCTAAAGTCCCAAGCCTCCTCAAGCCCTCAGGCCTGCAAGCTGCAGCGCACTTTGTTGCTTCTTCTTGTGGGGTTCGAGCTGTTCTTGGGATTCGGGATTATGATTCTGGGGCTCTGATGGGGTTAGGGTTTAGGGTTTAGGGCTTAGGGCTTAGGGCTTAGGGCTTAGGGCTTGGGGCTTGGGGCTTGGGGCTTGGGGTTTAGGGTTTAGGGTTCCAGGGCTTGGGATTTTTGGATTTTGGACTTCGGTTTTAGGGCTTTAGGTAGGGATGTTCCCTTATACTAACAGTCCTTAATAGGGATTATGATGCCCTCGATTATAATCCCGATTAAGGACTGTTAGTACAATGGGGAACATCCCAGGTTTGGGGTTTATAGGGCTTGGAACCCTAAACCCTAAACCCCAAACCCCAAACCCCAAACCCCAAACCCTAAACCCTAAACCCTAAACCCTAAACCCTTGGGTTTGAGTTACCCTTTGGCCACGCACATGGTTGCGGGAAGTCGGTAGGCCGGAAGCGTCTTCTCGCCGCAGGGGTTTCAGGGTTGCCAGCCCGACAAGGACCCAAAACCCGGAACCCTAAACCCTAAACCCCCAAGCCGTAACAAATAGACCCCTCGCTGGGACCGAAAAGCCTGCCGAGGCTTTGCATCACCATGAGCAGCCAGCAGACTGGATTGATCACGATCCGCACGGACGACATGGAGACTGCCGGAGAGATGGTCCAGGCGACTGGAGTCTTCTACCCTAAACCCTAAACCCTGAATTCTCATTGGTCTTAGGGTTTGGGGTTTCGGGAGTTGAGGGAGTTGGGTTTTGGGGTTTGGGGTTCGGGTTTGGGGGGCGAGTGGTACCCCTTCCTTTTTTGGTTCCAGGTTCCCTGATAAAGTAACCAAACCAAAAAGGGCGCACTTATTTTAATATTGTTGCTGGTAGCCTAAATGGGAGTTAGGTACCCCTAAGATTCCTAAACCCGAAACCCTAAAAACCCTAAACCATAAACCCTAAACTCTAAACCCTAAACCCTAAACCCTAAACCCCAAACTTCTTTCGGGGAAGGACCTCTGTAGCTTCCTCCAAGTGACGGAGCTCGAGTCCTCTGCCAACTTCCCGTCAGAGATGGAGAGGCCCCCAAGGGGGGTTCGGGCGTTTAGGGTTTAGGGTTTAGGGGTTAGGGTTTAGGGCCTAGGGTTTAGAGTTTCGGGTTTACGGTTCAGGGTTTAGGGGTTTAGGGTGCTAGGGGGTGGGGGTGTGGGTGGTAGGGTTAAGGTTTCGGTTCGTTGTACGGAATGAGGGAATTAGGCGCTCTACCCTTTAAGGGATTCTGCAGAGTGTCTCATTCCCTCATTCCCCACTAAGAACCAGGAAAGATTTAGGATGCAACTGCCCTAAACCCTAAACCCTAAACCCTAAACCCTAAACCCTAAACCCTAAACCCTAAACCCTAAACCCTAAACCCTAAACCCTACATCTGCCACATACTGCCGCTGCTCCCAGAGACTCCAATATCCTCTCAGTTAAGTTACATTCCCTACTACTAAGGTGTATTGCAGCCCTAAACCCTAAACCCTAAACCCTAAACCCTAAGCCCTAAACCCTAAGCCCTGAGCCCTAAGCCCTAAGCCCTAAACCTTACTAAACCCTAAACCCTACCAAACCCTAAGCCCCAAACACCTTACCTGGAGCCCTCCAACTTCCCAAAACCCACCCGCAAGAAACTTCAAAGAGTTGGGTAAGGAGGCTCTTGGAGGGCAAGGGCTCACTTGATTTCGGGGCCTAAGGCTGCCTCTACACTTCTTGTGCCTCGGGATTACAAAACAGAACGGCCCTCACACAAATATAGCCCCTAAACCCTTAACCCTAGCCCTAAACCCTAAACCCTAAACCCTAAACCCTAAACCCTAAACCCTAAACCCTAAACCCTAAACCCTAAACCCTAAACCCTAAACCCTAAACCACCCCACTGTCTTCCGATAGAAGTCGTGCTTCGGAGGCTGAGTCCATTCGCGCAAGTCGCAACCCTCAGGGCGATATAGCCAACCCTACTTGTAGGGTTTGCAGAGGGGTTTAGGGTTCAGGGTTTAGGGTTTAGGGTTTAGGGTTTAGGGTTTAGGGTTTAGGGTTTAGGGTTTAGGGTTTAGGGTTTAGGGTTTAGGGTTTAGGGTTTAGGGTTTAGGGTTTAGGGTTTAGGGTTTGGGATGCGGTTCGAGGTTGAGAGCCTTAGGCTATTCCGAAACCCTCTTCCTCGTGAACCCTAGGCCCCCAATAATTTCGCGTTTAGAGGTTGAGGGCCTCGGGCTGGTCCGAAACCTTCTGCCTCTTGAACCCCTAGGCCCCCAACAATTTCCGAGAAATGCAGCACCAACCAAGGTTCCAACAAGTGCTTACGCGCGTCGATGAGTACAACTCCGTGCGCATGATGCTTGGACTGGTGAATATGGGGAAGTGCATAGGTAAGGGCTTCTAGTCTTCTGTCAAGGAACTCAGTTCAGTTACCATGGTCTGGATGCTACCCCCTAAACCTTACCCCCTAAACCCTAAACCGCGCTGCGCAGTGCTGGAAAAGCAACTCGAGATTCAGGGTCGGGAGTTTCTGTTTGCCGCAGACCCCAACATCTCTGAACAAATGTTCTTCAAACCATATCGGGATCCCTACGGGTTAGTTGCCCCAAACGGAACCCCCAGCTTCTCAATCGGGCCCTGAGAGTTAAGGGTTTGGGACTCAGGGTCTTAGTCTCGGGGTCTGGGGTTTAAGGTTTAGGGACCCTAAACCCTAAACCCTAAACCCTATACGGGGGGCAACCAAAGGGGAAAGGGATCAACCCCGAAGACCGCCCAGAACTTATATTCCCCAGATCGACCAGCACAACAAACACAGAACACGGACCAGGAGAACCAGGGAAGGGAGTAAAGGGGGCCTATGCCTAAGCACCTAGGAACCAACCCCAACCCCAACCACGTGGGCTCTACCTTTTTTGAGCTTGTGGCCTTAGTACTTCTGGCCATCCTTGAGCCAAACAAGATTTCCGGGTTTGTTAACCCTTCCAACTCCCAACACTAACTCTTTTCTACAATACCAGCTGCAGCTCCGCACTCCCCCTGTCCTAGGATTTCCTAGGACACATTGGAGGTGCAGATCTTTGGCCAAAAACTGCCATTAGGGCAGCAGCCAGCTGCTTGAAATGCACAATATGGTTTTACGTCATCCAGGACGAAATTATAGCACATTGGCTAAACCCACTAACCACAGAGAATCTTTTTTCCACCATGATCCTCTTATCATTGAAGACTCTTCGGCCTTCTTCACCACAAACCGTGGTCTTCGCTACGCGAAAAACTACTGACTTCTACTATCAGGGATTTCCATACCCTTAATAGTAACCACCACATGTTCAGCGCATTGGCCGATCCAGCGCACCTGTCTCCAGAAAGAGAAAAACCATCCCTTCATCCATACCATCCAGTCACTTCTTTTTCCGATGGTTTGCAATACTGAGGTGAAGTTGCAGCAGGATATACTCCAGGTCCGAAACTGTAAGAACAGGATCCTGCACGCACCTTTGAATTGAGGATACCAATCCTTCTCTCTTTGCGTCCTCAATCGCTTGGCAAGATTGACCCAGCTCTGAACTCACAGCGGTAGACGCTTGCGCATCCACATCAGAGGGACGAACCTTTTCCTCAGGACCTTTCACCACCACCACTTCTTCCTTTTTGGGGCTCTGACTTTTCTCCTTCTTCTTCGCCTTTCCACCGACGTTTGACTTTGTGCGCATTTTCGAGGCTTTTTCCCCTGCAGAAACCACCGCATTGGATGATGATCCACCCTTCTCAATGGTCGCCGGCATCTTCTTCGGCTTTGGAACCAGGAGAGTGTAAGGATCTTCGATAGCTGCAGTTTTCCTCTTCTTTTTAACCTTTTTTTCCTCCTCCTCAACGGCAACCTCCGTCTCAGAAGTCTCAACCACCTCCTTTTCGGCAGGAATATCCTTGCTGGACTCCCTTTCTAGGGACCTCTTCTTGCCCCTTTTGGGATCTTTTTCTTCTCCCACGTTGGCTCGCTCGAACCATATCCTCAGGTCATTGACCCATTCTTCCACCTCCGCGAGCGAAACCTCATACGACTTCACTACTTCGTGAAGTTCCAGCACGGACAGCATACCGGTGGTCCACGAAACCCATTCCCTATCCATCTGGTCAGTATCTCCATTGAACTTCAGGAGTTTGAACAGTGGGTCCGCCTCTGCTCGAGCCAAATCTGTTTTGCCATTGGACAGAAATGAAATCGCCTCCATCAACAGTTCCGCCATTTTGGTATCATCGTCATAAGTCATGGAATACTCCTCACCATCATCGAACTGTTCAGGAGAGATCTCCTTTTCCCCACCTTTTGCACCAGAACTTCTCCTTGGACCATCCCTTGGGGGCGTCCTTGGAGACCTTGGCCTCTGTTTATCCAGCGGATCACCATGCTCAAAAAAAAAAAACCTGTCACCATAACGACACTTCCCAGACTGAGCAAACTGGATGCACCTCACCCCAGTTGCATCATGCGAGAACGCACACTTCTTTCCAGCGAAACAGGGTCTCCCCGCCACATAGTATTTGCACCAATACGAATGCAGCACCACATCATCTTCTGAATGGATGAATTTGCAGTCTTCACCAAATTTGCAGCGATCTTTTCCCTTACTGAACCAATAGCAGAAGCCTTTCTTCCTCTTCTCCAAGCGCTCCGCCTCGTACCGGTCCATAGGGCGATTCTGCTCTACATGAACATTGCCATGTGCCTGAGAACTGCTCCCTTCACCCAAGGTGCTATCAGTACTTGATGCTTGGAGTACAGCTGGAAAACCTGGCCTTGGTCCTACCACCTTCATGATTGGTTTTCCGCCAGCTCCTGAGCCACGCTGAGACGATCCAAAAACATTGAACATCTTCATAAAGGCCTTTCTAGCGCCGATCTTCTGCACCCTTTTGATTGGATGTTTCATTGCTCCAACCTTGCATCCAGATACGTTCAAACGACACAACCTCCTATACCCAGCTCTATATCCTTTTTTCCAAAGAGCCATAAGAATTTTAGGGGCAGTAACATTCTCCACCTCTACCCTTTCGGACTGTCCCTCACTTTCCGGAACAAACCCATTCAACCCATCCATATCTGAAGACCTTTCCATCTTTTTTGACACCACTTCGTCGAGGTAGTCTTCAGAGATCCAGGGTAAGTTCCTCTTAGAGGAAGGATTGTCACCATTGTTTGGTCCTTCACCAGGATACCCCTTTGTGCTGTCAAAGATCTTACCAGTAGTGCGGTCCTGCGTAGAGAAGTTGGAAGCAACGCGAGAGTACACTGACCACAAGAAAATCCTTGTGCCCGCCAGTCTTGACGACCCACTGGATGTCTCCTCTTCCGGAGAAACTTCTGGCGCTTTGCCATCCCTTCCAGTGTCACCAATTGTCTCACCTCCAGCATCTTCAATGGGAATAAGGGATTCATTGTTCCCTTGATCAAGTACCGCATCTTGTTGTTCGGGGATCTCCAGCACCATTCCTGTAGGATCCACTTCCTCATCAGCATCGTCGTCCATTCTTCTCCAGAGAACCTCCAATTGATCAGCGCAGGTCGCCGCCTGAAGGAACTCCATCATTTGGTCCCTCCCGTGCTGCCAGAGAAATTCGGAATTCACCACTGTCCCTTGGCCTCCTAGTCTAAGGAATGGAGCGACCAGATTGGCTACCCTTGCCATAAGTTCCACATGAACTTCCATGCCTGGACTGCGACTCCAATCATAGGCTATTGCCTCCATAGCAGTTCCAAACTTTTCAGTATTTCTGAATTCCTTTTCCAGGCCAGGAGAAAGCAGTGCACCCATCACCGAAAGAGGATAATTTCCCACCACCGGCAAGCACGGATCTTCATGGAACGAATGATGCAAATCTCCGTAGTGTCCTTGATCTCTCCTTTCAAAAAGGAGTCTCCCAGTGTTCAACTGGGTATTCAGTTCATCCACTTGAACCATTTCAGCACATATTCTCTGTGCTGCAGTCGCTATTGCCGGCCAGATAGCACGATCTGCCAACCCACGACGCATAACCCAAACAGTTGTTGCCGACTGAATCAGTGTACCAGGGTCATATGCCATGACCACCAATGCACCATCATCCATTCTCTGATCAGCATCATCTTCCAGTGCCAGGCTCAAATCCTGTTCGCTTGCACCTTCAGATGACATGCTAATAACCAAGTTTCGATCCATTTTATTGGACCCCTTCTGATAGTCCTTGTGCCCCACAGGCAACTTGCCGACAGCAACCTTCCAATAAATCCGATTCAGAAGACCTTTAACCAGCAATTGCTGAGGAACATTCTTCACCGGACGAACATCCAATGTCTTCGCACCGTCACCACGGAGTTCATTGCTCCCACCTTCTCCTTCGTTTTGGTCAGTCTCCTCGCCAGGAATTTGCACTGCTCCTTCCAGCGCCGTCTCCTGTCCAGCCACTTCTTGCCCAGGAAGAACTTGAGCGCTTTCAGATACATTCACCTGTCCAGCAACACCTTGCCCAGGTAAAACCTCATCCGTGGAGCCCACCGCCAGCGAACCAACTATAACTGAACCATCCCTTGCTCTTTTTTGAGACTGTTCAGTTCGACGAGAGGGTCGTGGTAGCGAAAAAACTTGAGAAGTCACTTCTTGGCGGGTCTCCCCCCGCGACGCTTTGTCGCGTTCTTCGCCAAGGTGAACCGATTTTTTCTGCCCGTTTTTGGGGCCGGAAAACCACCCATCGGAACATTGCCACGATTCGCAGTTCTCTGTGAATCCCTTTCTTGCAAAAAGATTTCCCTCATGCGTTGCACAGCATTGGTCTCTTCCTCGCTTGAATCGCTTGAGGAAGCGGCATAAGAAACCAAAGCCTCCGCCTGATCATCATCATCCACCACATCTGCCCACGCTCTGCTGAACCGATACGACAACCCACCACGAGGCTTCAGTTAGTGGTTTTGGTTTTTCCACCACTTCCGCCGGTTGCGCTCGTCGTTGTGAACGAGAGCGTGGCACCTGTCGCACCTGTTTTTTATCCAGCAAGGGCCTTCCCCTTTTTACAGGGTTTGATCTTGACCGATACTTTTTTGTTGGTGGGTTCACCGGCGGCATTCCAACTCCCACCAACTGCAGCTTCTGTACGCACAGCGGAGACCTCTGCGCAAGCGTCCAAGCGTCACGGTACCTGACCTTATCAAAAAGCTCCCGATAGGAGCCTCTCGGCATTGTTTTTGCACCGGAGCCTTCAGCTTCACGCATCTGAGTGAGGGTTCGCACCGCCTCTCTTCCAGCTTCCTTGCTCCCAGAAGATTGTTGTACCCGTACAGATGCATCGGAAGGAACTGCTTTTTCCGGTCCTCCCGGACGATATCGGACACCACCCACCAATTGCAAGGTTTTACATGCTGTCACTTTGTTG